GCAGACTGAGGCTGAGGCTGAAGGCTGAGGCTGCAGGCTGAGGCTGAGGCAGGCTGAGGCTGAGGCTGAGGCAGGCTGATGCTGAGGCAGGCTGAGGCTGAGGCTGAGGCTGATGCAGGCTGAGGCTGAGGCAGGCTGAGGCTGAGGCCGAGGCTGAAAGCAGACTGAGGCTGAGGCTGAAGCAGGCTGAGGCTGAGGCTGAGGCAGGCTGAGGCTGAGGCAGGCTGAGGCTGAGGCTGAGGCTGATGCAGGCTGAGGCTGAGGCAGGCTGAGGCTTGAGGGCGAGGCTGAAGGCAGACTGAGGCTGAGGCTGAGGCTGAGGCTGAGGCTGAGGCTGAGGCAGGCTGAGGCTGAGGCTGAGGCAGGCTGAGGCTGAGGCAGGCTGAGGCTGAGGCCGAGGCTGAAGGCAGACTGAGGCTGAGGCTGAAGCAGGCTGAGGCTGAGGCTGAGGCAGGCTGAGGCTGAGGCTGAGGCAGGTGATGCTGAGGCAGGCTGAGGCTGAGGCTGAGGCTGATGCAGGCTGAGGCTGAGGCAGGCTGATGAGGCTGAGGCCTGAGGCCGAGGCGGCTGACTGAGGCAGGCTGAGGCTGGCTGAAGCAGGCTGAGGCTGAGGCTTGAGGCAGGCTGAGGAGGCTGAGGCTGAGGCTGAGGCTGCAGGCTGATGCTGAGGCAGGCTGAGGCTCTGATGCAGGGTGAGGCTGAGGCAGGCTGAATGCCCAGAGCCAACTGTAGGCCACTTCGTGGTCTTCGAGTTCCCAGAACTCCATTCCTGGGCATGATTTTGAATGCCCAGAGCCAACTGTAGGCCACTGCGTGTATTTCGAGTTCCCAGAACACCACTCCTGGGCCACATTTTGAATGTTGAGGCAGGCTGATGCTGAGGCTGAGGCAGGCTGAGGCTGAGGCAGGCTGAGGCTGAGGCTGAGGCTGAAGGCAGACTGATGCTGAGGCTGAAGCAGGCTGAGGCTGAGGCTGAGGCAGGCTGAGGCAGAGGCAGGCTGAGGCTGAGGCTGAGGCAGGCTGAGGCTGAGGCTGTGACTGCGACTGCCGTTGCCACTGCGACTGTCATAGCGAATGCGACTACGACTGCGAGAACAGCAGAATTCTACAACTGGATTATCATCTGAATCTTAAGGGGAATGCTTCCAGATATGCTCCGACACATCGCTGTTAGGTTGCTTCGCCGGGATAATGGGCATGTGTTGACTGCTTTTATTTATCCTACAACATCCGCCTGTTGGAGGACACGCCCGACCTAAGCATAGGTGTCCCGCGTACACGCCGTTCGTGAAAATGGGTGTTTGTAGAATCTCAAACCCCAATCTATTTCAAGCGCCCTCCTGCTTCAAGAGCCTATATTCGATTGCTGTGATGTGATGTTAGCTGGGAGGGCCTGAACCCAATCTACTTTATCCGCCTTCCTATTTGTTGTTTTTGCATACTCCTCGGCCTTCGTAAGCCTCCGCGTAAGTTCGGTATTGGGTGGAAGATGTACTGCCGCCGACCCCGCGCGCGCACACCTTCCGCCAGAACAGCTGTTTCGTCGGGGTGGACAAGAACCGTGCCCCCCAGGGATGTACATTGTGCACGCAACCCCCTCTCCTGTGCCGGGCCAGCTTGTTTGAGGGGGTGGTGTTGATGGGCTTGTTTTCCACAACCACCATAAGTTGGAGGGGGGAAGGAGGAGGAGGAGGAGGACGAGGACGAGGAGGAGGAGGAGGACGAGGAGGAGGAGGAGGATAGGTGGAGGAGGAGCAGGATGGCCCCCTCTCCCTCCAACTTGTGGTGGTGGTGGTGGACAACAGGCCCATCAGGTGTGCCGTCGTGCTCCCGGCCGTGTCACCTCGCGACCTGTCTCTCTTTTTCTTTTCAATCCTCCTCAATCCTCCTCCTCCTCCTCAATCCTCCTCAATCCTCCTCAATCCTCCTCCTCCTCAATCCTCCTCAATCCCCCTCCTACTCCTCCTCCTCAATCCTCCTCAATCCTCCTCAATCCACCTCAATCCTCCTCAATCCTCCCCCCCCCTCCTCATCCTCCTCCTCCTTCTCCTCAATCTTCGTCAATCCTCCTCAATCCTCCTCCTCCTCCTCCTTAATCTTCCTCCTCAACCCTTCCTAATCCTCCTCCTCCTCCTCCTCCTCCTCCTCGTCCTCCTCCTGCGCGTGAGGGGAGCCCCCCCCGCGCGGCCAGCTCCGCGGCGGGCCTCCTCCTCCTCCCCGGAGGGCCTCCTGCGCGTGGCCGCCCCGAGGAGGGCCACCGCGCGAGGCCCGCCTCGGGCGAGGCCGGGGCGAGGCTGCGTCCAGGTCGGCCCGTCCCCCCACAAGGGGATATTTGGGCGAAAAGTCATACATAATCAACAACTGTTCCAAACATGCTCAACAATATGTAGCAAAAAGTCGTCCCCAAAACTATTTCTTGACTGTTAAAAAGATGCCCCCTGTGGAGGGACAGGGGGATAGTTGGGCGAAAAGTGAGAAATAATCGACAAATATTCCAAAGATGCTCAAACATAGTAACAAAAAACTCGTCCCCAAACTTTTTTGGGACTATTAAAGAAATGCCCCCTGTAGAGGGACAGGCCCGACGTCAGGAGAAGCCCGCTCCGCAGCGTTCCGGAACGCTCCCAGCGCGTCCGGAACGCTCTGCGGAGGCCGCGGCGCCCCAGGCAGCCCTCAGAGCCGCCGGATTCCCTGGGATTCTCGATGTGTCCTCGCCAGAGCCTGTCCTCGTCCTGCCTCCGTCGTGCAGCCGGCCCTGATTTAGTAGGCCGATCAAATCGAGGGTGCCCTTTCGCCCTGTGCCTCGCGACCATTGCCTCAGCGTGTTCGGATGCAACTCCTGGGAGGTCAAATTCTGATTTTGCCCCGGTCCGAAATCTGGCTTGATCCAGCTTAATCCCGTTTAATCCGGCTTAATCCCGCATAAATCCCGCTTAATCCGGCTTAATCCTGCTTAGTCCGAGGCCCACTCCGGCGTAACAGTTCCCAAGTGCAGCTTAATCCTTTTTAATATTTCCGACGGAAACCTCCTAGTAGTTGCCTCCTAAAGCGTGGCCCTGGGAAGGGTCTCGTGTCCTCTAGTGTGTACTCTCCATCCAAGTCCGACTGTATACGGTATGTTCATGTCGTGCCGGCCAGCGACGACCCCGCCGTCAGCATTCAACGTTGAATGCAGCGGGCGACCCAGAATCGGGCGATGTTGAACGAGCTGACGTTTGGGAAACGACCGATCGTTCAAGGTTGAACCATCCCCGCCGTGTCAGGGACCAACGCCGAAGTCCGCACGACACGAATTTGCCGTGCCTCCCTTGCTCCGCGCTCTCTCTCGTCGCCCCGCAAATGGGTTCGATGGCCCGAGAACACGCCGGTCGTTGAGAGTGGGTGCTTTAAGGCTTCAAGCGCCAGTCCTGCTTCAAGAATCGATATGCGTTTGCTCTCTATCGTCGCCCCTCGTCGCCCCAGAGCGCCCCGCTTGATGGGCCTGTTCTCCACCACCACCATGAGTTGGAGGGGGAGGGGCTCCTCCTCCTCCTCCTCCTCCTCCTCCTCCTCCTCCTCCTCCTCCTACTCCTCCTCCTCCTTCTCATCCTCCTGCTCCTCCTCCTCCTCCTCGTCCTCGCCCTCCACCTCCTTCCCCCTCCAACTTGTGGCGGTGGTGGTGGATCACGTGCCCATCACCGCTCCCCCTCGCCTCGGTTTCCCCCGGGGCCGCCGCGGCAGGGGCCCCGAGCGCCCCCGACCGAGGCCGCGCCCGCCGCCGCGGAGGCGCAGGAGCGCGCCATCCCCCGCGGGCGGCACGTGGCGGCCGGCAGCCGGCGGAGATGTACAGCGTCGGAGATCGAGGGGCGGAGGAGGAGGAGGAGGAGGAGAAGGAGGGGAGGAGGAGGGAGGAGGAGGAGAGGAGGAGGAGGAGGAGGAGGAGGAGGGAGGAGGAGGAGGAGGAGGGAGGAGGAGGAGGAGGAGGAGGAGGAGGGAGGAGGAGGAGGAGGAGGAGGGAGGAGGAGGAGGAGGAGGAGGAAGAGGAAGAGGAAGAGGAAGAATAAGAGGAAGAGGAAGAAGAAGAAGAAGAAGAAGACGAAGAAGAAGAATAAGAAGACGAAGACGAAGACGAAGAAGAAGAAGAAGAAGAAGGAGAAGAAGAAGAAGAAGAATAAGAAGAAGAATAATAATAAGAAGAAGAAGAATAATAAGAAGAATAAGAAGAAGAAAAATAATAAGAAGAAGAATAAGAAGAAGAAGAATAATAATAAGAAGAAGAAGAAGAATAAGAATAATAATAATAAGAATCAGAAGAAGAAGAAGAAGAAGAATAATAAGAAGAAGAAGAAGAAGAAGACGAAGAAGAAGAATAAGAAGAGGAGGAGGAGGAGGAGGAGGAGGAGGAAGAGGAGGGGGCGGATGAGGCGGAGCGGGGGGAGGGGGGAGGGGGGGCGGCCTTGCAACGTTTTGGCTTCCTTCCCCTGCGGGCCGACTGTAGAAGCGCTCTATCGCCGTGCTCGAGGGCGCCTCCTTGTCACCACGGAGAGCCTGGGTCCTGGACCGCAAGGGGTCCTGGGACCTTTCGCCGCTCCCGGGGTCTCGGGGCTTCCCCTGGGCCCAGGGCAAACCTACACAGAACGACTCAGGAGAGAGCAGCCGATCGCCTGGGGGAAGCCCAACGGGGGCATCGCAGGGGTTCGTTGGATCAGGGCATGCTGTTGTTTCCACCCAGCTCGTCTTTGACGCTCTTAGTGGAGGCGGAGGAGGTGGAGGCGGATGAGGAGGCGGAGGCGGAGGCGGAGGCGGAGGCGGAGACGGAGGAGGCGGCGGAGGCGAAGCAGGAGGCGCGCGGTACGCAACCGCAGGAAGACGAAGGCGAGGAGGGCCAGGCCGAGGAGGAAGAGCAGGAGGACGCCGCGGGTCAGGCGGGGAGGAGGAGGAGGAGGAGGAGGAGGAGGAGGAGGAGGAGGAGGAGGAGGAGGAGGAGGAGGAGGGGGAGGGGGAGGAGCAGGAGGACCCAGACTTCCCGCGGCGCGGCGGCAGGACCCTCTGGACGCCTTCATGGCCGACATCGCCCAGGAGGTCAAGTCCGACGCGCCCCAGGCGGACGGCGCCCCGCGACCGGCTCGGCCTCGTCGGTGCGCCCAGGGCGGGATCGGTCAGGAGATCCCCCGCCCCAAGCGGAAGCTCGGCGGCAGCCACCGGTATTCAGGAGGGGACAGAAACACGCACAGACAAAATGGATCGTCGGTTCCCCTGAGAATGCGGAAACACAAGGGCAGTGAGGAGAAGACGAGAACCCAGAGGACACGGAAATACATGGGGAATCTTGGTATTTGTGTGTGTGTGTTCATTTGTGTGTCCTTGGGGCCCTGTATGTACGTGCGCCACCGTGCCATTTGTGTAGAGCGGGGCCATGCGTCAGAGGAGGGACGAGTGGAGACAGCGGCAGTGAGCCTTTTGGGGGTGGCCCTCGTCGCCACGGCTGGATACATCTCGGGAAACCGGTGCGTCTGGACCCATGGGTTCAAGGGAGGAAAACGCCCCGGACCCGACAATTGGCGTTTACCAGACGGCCCTGGGCGTTTACTAAAGGATTCCTCCTGTGGGTGCGGTTGCTAAACGGCCTCGCGTGCCGGGGTGATCATGGTGGGGGTGGATGTTCTGCCATCCATGGATGGGGTCCGGGGACCGATCCTGAGCTGCCGTTGTCCTCAACGGGTCCTGCTCCGAATCCTGGGCCCCAGGATCGTGTATATCAGGAGGGAAGAATGACAAACACAACTAATCGTCGATTCCCCAGAACATACGGGAAAATATGGGAAGTGGGGGGGGGAAGACAACAACCCAGAAAGTATGGGAAAAGGTTGGGAGTCCTTTCCTTCGTGCGTATTTATATGGGTGTCCCAGGGCCCCAGGCTCGTGTGTGTGATAGGCCCTCCCCCCCGCGCCTCCCCAGGGATGGCCCCGGGCGCGGCGGCTCTGCACCCCCGCCTGCTGCCCCCAGGGGAGTGCCGCGGGGCGGAGCTCCGCTGGGGTGGTTCGGGGCTGCCTCTGCCTCGGAGGAGGAGGAGGAGGACGAGCGCCTCTGCCGGGAGGAGGAGGAGGAGGAGGAGGAGGAGGAGGAGGAGGAGGAGGAGGAGCTCAGCTCAGCTGGGATGCCCCTGCCTCGGAGGAGGAGAAGGACGAGCGCTCAGCCGGGGTGGTTCGGGGTTCGACCCGACTCGAATCGAGTTGGGACGAAGGCCGTTGCCTCCGCCAAGCTGCCGCAGGGAGGCACCTCCTGTGAGGCTCTCGACCTGCGAGTGACTTTCCATCACGAATCCGCGCACAAGCGAGAGGCGAAGCATCGCGGCTGCACGGACCAAGGGGGAAATCCGACGACCCTCAAGGGGCCTTTTACTCGCTAGATATCGCCTCCAATCTGCTGCGGCTCCAGGGGGACCAGAGCTCTACGAATTTTCTGTTTCCTGGAAGCGCCAGTGAACTTAATATACATAGTGCAAAAGTTGACTGTCAGATGGCGAGAGGCGAGCTTAATTCTCTGGATATGTTTTCCGCGATGTGCAACTGATAACATACGCTCAATTGCCTCGTTCCCGTATTTGTCATACTCATCGAGAGCACGCCAACTTCCGTCGACACCTTTGTTCGTCCAATGTGGCACCAAGTCGGCGCCAGCAGCTACTCCAGCAGCATCTTCAGCGTGCTCGGGCTTCGAACCGACGATTGCGCCTTCGACAGTATCTCCGTCTTCAGCTTCACCGTCGGTCTCAGAGAAAGAGCCTGACACCTTAGGCTCTGGGTAGAGCACCTTCTCGGCGGAGGGTGCCATGTTGACGACTGCCTTCTTGGTGTCGGTCGTCTGCGCCGCGTCCGAGGAGCTCGGCTGACCGAATTGCACAGCCTCCTTCTCCTGCTCCTCTCCGCCGCCGTCGTCGTCCTTCTCCAGGAAGGGGGTACCCTCCTCTGTGAAATCGACGTTCCCCTCTTACGAGCGGGCAGGGTTCCCGCAGTCGGTCGCCGTCGCGGTGGTGATCTTGCCAGCTACTGAGAAGACGTCCTTCTCGACAACGACCTCGGGATCCTCGCTCCATCACCTCCTCGCCCGCCGACGTGTACAGCACTTGGTCAGCCGCCTCGTCCTTCTCCGCCATGGCCCACATGGCGGATCCTTCCGAGGGTGCTTCTGCGATCGGACAGCTCGACCATCACCTGCGTCAAAACTTCGGCCAGCCGCGGAAGCTGGCCTCGGGCGAGGAAGGCGGTCGGTCCCCGCCCCTGAAGGACCCGGCCGGTGCGGGGAGGGCGTCACTGCCCCTTCGGCCCCTTGCGGAGGGCCTTCCGTTTTTCTCGCGCAGTTCCCACGTTCTTGGCCAGCTTCGCCTCCCGCTCCACCTCGGACCGCACGTAGTCCAACAGCTCCGTGCAAATCATCAGCGTGGCCGAGGCCTTCGTCGTCCCCGCGAAGGCCTATTGCTCCTCCAAGGACATCTTCCCCTGGTAGTTCTTGGCCTCGGCCTCCCGCGCGCGCTCCGAGTGTCCGAACTCGATGGTCTGGGGCCGCCGGAACTGGTGCTCGACCATGAGGAGGTTGCTCCCGTCGAGCTGGTCCACCAGCAGCCCCTGGGCGAGCGCCTGGGCGATGTTGAAGTGCTCGAAGCCGCCCCGCGAGTTCCAATCCAGCCGGCAGGCCGTCTTGAAACGCTCGGAGCCGCTCGTGGTGTCCCAGGAGGCCGTTACCCTCCTGGTTGATGAATTCGATGCACCACAGGCTCGAGCGCGGCCCCGGGAGCTGCCAGTCGCTCCCGAAGCTCGGCTTGAGAGCCGCCGTCATCTCCGCCCAAGAGCGCCCCCGTCGGTCCTGACGGCTGCGCCGGATCGGAGTGATCCGCGCGTCCGTGGCAACAGCTCGGTCGAAGAACGAGGCCTCGCCCGCGGGGTCGACGTGCTCGACGAAGACCCCGCTCTCGGTCGGGCAGCACGTGCACGTCGCGGTTGCCGACGGCCAGCGCGCTCCTCACGTGGTCCACGACGTCCCCGTACTGAACGGCCCGAGCGCCATCGCGGCCCGCCACGCAGCTCGCGCCTGCGCGGCCGCCGCACCCGGCGCTGCCCCCTGCAGTGGCCCGATCCGAGCAGGCTGCGAGGCCGCCGCCACGATGGCTCCCGCCACCACCAGCGGCCTCAAGAAGACAAGGTTGGCCAGCAGCTGCGGGTCGCCTCGGACTGCCGCGATCCGCTGGCACTCAGCCTGGGCCTCCGCCTGAGCGTCCGTCATCGCCCTCGCCCTCGGAGCCGCCGTCGGCTCCTGGACCGCCCAGGTGGCGCTCCTTCCGGCACTGCCGCCCAGCCCGCCGAGTACATGACCGAGGCGACGTCCACGCTGTCGTCCCCGTAGTCCTCCGCGTAGACGTCCCCGGATCACGTAGCTAGAGTCCGACAACCCCACCTGGCCGAGAATCAGCCTCTGGTGCCACAAATGCTCGTCGTCTGCGTACAGCATGAACGCCCACTCCTCCACCCTCGGCGCCAGCGTTATCGCTGCGGCTCGCGTTACCCGCTTCACGCAGCACCTCGAGCCGCGCCAGGCAGCCTGCAGCACAGCGGCCAGCGCCACTCCGACGAGGACGCCGAGCAGCAGCGCCGCCCCCAGGCCCCAGGTGGGGGCCAGCCCTGCGGGCCCCGCGCGCTCGCTCGCCCTCCGGCGCCGCGAGGCAGCTGTCCGCCGGCGGCCACGCCAGCGAGGGCGCGCATCCCCAGTGTCAACCGAGAGGAGGAGGAGGAGGAGGAGGAGGAGGAGGAGGAGGTGGAGGTGGAGGAGGAGGTGGGCAGGGGGCGCAGGCCGCCGGCGGCGGGCACGCCGGGCACGCCGCGCACCGGCAGTCAGGCACCGGCGGGCACGTCGGGCACCGCGCCAGGTAGGCGTAAGTCGGGCCTGTCCCCCTACAGGGGGTTTTTCAATGAAAAATAAGCAATACCCCAGAAGTATTCCAAAAGGGTCAAAAAATACTGAAAAGATAGTCCCCGGACCATGTTTGGAGTATTGTTTGATTATTTCTGGGGTATTTTTTATTTTTCGTCGAAAATCCTTCTGTAGGGGGACAGGCCCGACTTAAAGGTAGGCCCCCGCGACGCCGCCCGCCCATTCCAGGACTCACACGGCGACGTGCCCGGCCATCCGGCCGGGGCCCACCACCCCTCTCTGCTTTCAGCCACCGCTCTTGCGGAGAGACCTGGATGACAGTGCTTGCGCCTGGATGTTGCAACACAGGGCGGCCTAAACCTAAACGTGCCAAGGATTCCCGTACAAGTACAACGCCTACACACATATATATATATATATGTATATATATGTATAATTTGATATCTGCATTGCGAGTCTCCAGCCCCCGATGTCAGAGAAAGGTAGGGATGTGCATGTGCAAACGCACACGTATGAGAGGCAGACGGGGGAATTCCCTCCCCTGGCACCTCCAGCTGCTCAAGCGCGCTTGGCCAGCCCAGGAGAAAAGAGGGGCTCTTAGGGCTCAGGAGGGACCCCGGAGGCCAAAGCGGGTTCCACGCACGCATATACACATGTGTGACAATATTTGTATGGACGGATTCAGGTGTATGTGTATACAAGCTTAGAGTTGTGTATACACATTTGGTTCTACCACTAATGAAGGGGAGAACCATACATATGTGCATCGCGAGAAGTATGTATATACAGGAACGGAGAGGAACACACAGTTCGATATATATATATATAAACGGCAATATAAATATATATAGGTATTGAGTTAGAGAAACAAAAATAACGAGATGGAGAGAGAGAGAGAGATAATAGAGAGTGAGAGAGAGAGAGAAAGAAAGAAAAAAAAAGAAAACAAGCGGCAGAGAGAAAGAGAGAGAGAAGCAGGGAGAGATAAGGCGAGGAGGGAAGAGCATGTTGAGGAGGGAGAGCGGAAGGCGACTGAGGAGCAGCGGGAGGGAGGACAGGGATGAGCGGGAAAGGGACGATGAGGAGGAGAACGACGATACCGGTAAGGGGGGGATGGAGGCGGGGGAGCGTTGTCTGCGTGCCCCGCCTCGCGGCCACAGGGCGAGGGTATGGGCATCATGGACGCGTCGCGAGTGAAGAGCATCTCGCTGGAGGACGCCCGAGCATTTTCTCTGGGTGGAGGGCAGAGGGTGAAATTTGCAGTGCCGTTTCGCCTGCCTTTCGAGGCGTTTGGACCTGCAAGAGGGGAATCGCGGGACGCATTGAATTGTCGAGGTGCAGAAGCCCATATGGATTTCACCCTGAGCCTTCCGCCCTAAGAGAAGATGCCCAGGACACGCCGAGCCGCCCTCGTTCTCCTTGATAGAACAGGGTGTGAGCCCTGGGAGGCGTATGCATTTTCATTTCGGCAAAACATGCCACCCGAGGGGGGGATCAACCATGGTTATTATCAAAAAATGAGACTTCAACGTCTCCTTGCTGATATTTCTTCAGAAGTTATTTCAAAGCCGCGCTCCCGCGTGGAGGTTCCACAGAATGTCAGCATGAATCGCGCTCTCGCGTGGTAAGTCCTGATTGTTTATTGAATCGTTTCGCTCCATCCGCCGGCCCGTTTTGTGCCATCGCAGGCGTTTGCCTGCGCGTTCGTGGCCTTTTGGGGCCTTTTGGGGGCCGCTTGGGGGCCTCATGGAGCCTCTTTTCGGGCCTCTTAGGGGCCTCGCGGGGCCTCCAGGGGGCATCCTGGGCTCTCTTGGGGGCGCCTCCTGGGCGTCTTTTTGGACGGTTCGTGTTCCCCCTCCTGGGCCCCTCTTGGGGCCGTCTTGGGGCCCTCTTGGGCAATCTTGGGCGCCTCTGGGGCCGTCCCGCCGTCTTGGACCATCTGGGGGCCCTCCTGAGAGCCTCTCGGGCCGTCTCGGGGCGGTCTTGGGGGCCTCTGGGGCCCTCTTGGAGAAAGCCGAAAAGGCGAGAAGGCTGGAAACCTCCAAGGACCGAAGGAAAATCAATGATTTGCGCCTCTTGGGGCGCCTCTTGGAAGCCTCGAGGGGCGTGTTGGGGGCATCGGGGGCCATCGTGAGGCCATCCTGTGCCGCCCCGGGATGCCGCCGGCTTGCGGCCGCAGGGCCTGCCACCCACTTGTCGACTCATCGGGCCGCCCCCTGACGGTTCCAGAGGCCCCCAGGCCCGCGCCCAAGAGAGTTGGCCGGCATCTCTGCACGCGAATCAGAACATCAGTTTTTTTTTGTCTAGTGGGGACCTCTTGGGAGGCCTCTTGGAAGCCTCTTGGGCCGTCTTGGTGGCCTCTTGGGCCGTCTTGAGGCCATCTTGGGCGGCTTGGGGCGATTTGGGGCCGTCTCGGGCCCCTCTCTGGGCCGTCCTTGGGCGTTCTTGGGCCCGTGTGGCCGCCTCGTGGGCCGTCTTGGAGCCGTCTTGGGTCATCGTGGGGCCATCTTGGGTCTTCTTGTGTTGTTCTGGGCGGTCTTGGAAGCCTCAGGGGCCCTCTTGGGGCGTCGGACAGCCGAATTGGCGAGAAGATTGAAAACCTCCAAAAACCGTAAGGACAGCAATGATTTTAGTCTCGTGGGGACCTCTTGGGAGGCCTCTTGGAAACCTCTCGGGCCGTCTTGGCGGCCTCTTAGGCCGTCCTGAGGTCATCTTGGGCGATTTGGTGCGATATGGCCGCCTCTTGGACCTTCGTGGAGCCGTCTTGGGCTATCGTGGGGCCGTCTTGGGAGCCTATTGGGGTGTGTTGGGGCGGTCTTGGAGGCCTCTTGGGCCCTCTTGGAGCGTCGGAAAGCCGAACAGGCGAGAAGGCTGAAACCTTCCAGAAACCAATGGAAAGTCAATGCTTTGTGCCTCTTGGGGCGCCTCTTGGAAGCCTCGAGGGGCGTGTTGGGGGCATCGGGGGCCATCGCGAGGCCATCTTGGGCCCTCCTTCGGACGCTGTTGGCTTGTGGCCGTAGGGCCTGCCACCTATTTGTCCACTCATTTGGCGGCTCCTGGACGATTGCAGAGGCCCCCGGGACCGCCCCCAAGAGATCCGGCCAGCATATCTGGCCCAACCTTGCCAGGAGTTGCCCGGGGTACTTTTCTCTCGGGCAGGGGCCGCCACGCGCGCGCGAACACGCCTCTGGCCCGTTGGGCCGGCGAATGGCGGCGCTGTGCCCCAAAGACTCGGGAATTATGCTCCCACTTTGGATTTTCGCGCGGTTTACCTGAGTGTCGCACTATCGCTCGAAACCTCCTTGCGATTCATGTTGGATTGACGCTTCAGCGACCCGCCCGCTCGACCTGGCCGTCTAGGCCCGCCCGCCCGACCTTCCCGCTAGAGTCAGAGTCCGCCCGCCCGACCCGCGTGTCTGGTTTTGCCGCTTGCGCTTCTGCTCCCAGCCCTCCTGCAAATTTCCCTCGTGCTCCATCTTTCTCCCTCCCCTTTGCCTCTTCCCTCCTACCTCCCTTCCACTGTTTTAGCGATTGCGACAAATACACGCGGCAGGTATGGAAGATATACTCTCAAGGGGGATACGGTTCAAGACACAGAGGGTGGGCAGCGAGTGTTTGGGTAACACATGCTGAATGGCACGCGAGCAGATTAGAGCGAACAGTTCTGGAAGTCTTCCCCATATCCTAAGTTCGGTTATTGTTCTCTCTGGACACCCAGCGCAGGAACAGGAACTCACCTACATCAGCAAAGGGGAGATCGTAACCGTAAGCGGTGGGTTCTTAGAGGTAAGCTCGGTACCAGGCTAAAGTACCAGACTAAAGAACCAGACTAACGTACCAGACCCTTGTACCAGACTCGAATGCCAGACTAAAGTGCCAGACTAATGTACCAGACGAAAGCACCAGACTAAAGTACCAGACTGATGGCACCAAGACTAATGGCACCAGACCAAAGTACCAGACGAACGGCGTCAGACTACTTGCGACTAACGGCGCCAGACTCATGGCACCAGACACCGTCAGCGTGGTACCAGACTATTGCACCAGACGAATGTACCATATTCATGTACCAGACTACGGTGCCAGACAAAGGTACCAGACTAGCGGTTCCAGACTAATGAGCCAGATTGAAATGCCAGACTAGCGGTACCGGACTCAAGTACCAGACACGCAGCACCAGACTAAAGTGCCAGATGTGCGGTACCAGACTACAGTACCAGACTAATGCGCCAGACTAAAATACCTCACTAATGTGCCAGACTACTGTACCAGACTTGTGTGGCGCCAGACTAATGGCGCCAGATTAACGGCGATGGCGCCAGATAAATGGCGCCAGATTAAAGGACTAATTGCGCCAAACTAGTGGTGCCAGACTAACGGCGCCAGGCCATTGAAATGGCGCCATGCTAATGGCACCAGAATAATGGCGCCAGACATGGCACCAGACTAGCAGTACCAGGCTAACGGCACCAGAATAGCGGTACCAGACTAAGGTACCATATTGAAATACAAGCCGAATGTACCATACTAAAGTACCAGACTAAAGTACCAATACCATACACAATATTAATGTACCAGACGAACGTGCCAGACTACTGGCGCCAGACTAATTGCACCCGGCTAATGGCATTTGATTGGCGGTACCAGACTAACGGAGCAGTTTAATGTCACCAGTGTGACGGAACCCGACTCATGGCACCAGCCTAGCGGTAACAGATTATAGTACCATACTAAAGTACCAGATTAGAGTACCGGATTGATGGCACCAAGACTAATGGCACCATATTGATGGCACCGGAGTAGCAGCATCAGACCAAAGCACCAAATTGGCGGCACCAGACGAGCAGTACTAATTGAAGCACCATATTAACGGCACCAGACTAGCAGTGCCAGACTCATGGTCCCAGACCAATGGTAACAGGTTATTGGCACCAGACTGATGTGGTGCCAGTAGTATGGTACATTAGTCTGGTACATTAGTCTGGTACCGCTTACGGTTAACAGCTAATCTCACATTAGCAACATCTTCATCATCGACATCATCATCATCATCATCATCATCATCACAATCACCACACTTCTGTCATCCCAAACACTGGCATCATCACCGTCATAATCACAATCAGCATCAGCATCGTAACCACTGTCATCACCCACCACCATCAACATCACTACCACCATCCTATCGTGACCATGGACCATCATCATGATCCACTTACTCTTTCACTCGTTTACATCCTCTCATTACTGCATCCATGATCGGGTCAGGACGCCACATTACGATGATCGGCCATGATTATTTTCGTCATCATCATCACCACCACCGCGCGCCACCATCGTCATCACGCTCACCATCTCACCATGATCATCGACCAAGATGACGCCTCGTCTGTGAGTGAACTGCGAGGAAGTGTAAAGCGGGAGCCCCCTCCCTATGCGGTACGGTGTTCATGTTCGACTCCGAGGCGGGTCATCGGAATCTTGTAATTGTCACTTTTTGGCTCCTCAGGCTTGAATCTAGCAGAATCTTTAGGGCACCCGCCATGAAATAAATTTTGATCGTTGGGGCCGAAGTGCGGGTTCCTCGCCAACGGATTCTTTGTGGTGATTTGTTGTTGAGTGGCGGTTTTTCGTTTCTTTTCGTGAGTAGGGATTTTTCATCAAGGCGATGTTCGCGGTTCTCCTTGAACAGCGATAGTTCCGGATTGGTTTCTTATTCGCAGGCCCCGCGCGAGACTATTTTTTCATGAAGGATATTTAGTGGGGGTTCTTTTGTCAGGATTTTTCATTCAGGTTGTCCCGCGTAGTGCTCGTCAACAAAGGTGGCTTAACACTTATTCTGCGCGCAGGGCTCTTCAGTCATGAATATTGATGCATGGGGTCCTCACGAACGAATCCTCAACCAGGAAGGCCCGCACATTTCTTTGAGTACCCCTTAAATGGTTGTTCCACCGACATTAAATCCAGTTTTCTGTGTTTGCCAAGGAGATGTTTTTCAGGTTAACCCAATAAAACACAATATTGGTGAAAGTGCTCCAGTACGGATCCTGGTCCAGGTTTATTCAGTAAGGGATCTTTCACGAAGGCTCTGTTTTTTGGTGTGCGTACCCAGGGTTCCGCATTAAATGTCCCGTAGTCGAGATCATGGAATCCGTATTCATGTTCCCCATTTAGTTTCGAAGAATCCGTATTCATGTTCCCCATGTAGGAACCCTGAATATCGGGTACTTCAGAATGAATTCCTTCCGATGGGTGATTTCTCGTATCAGTTCTCCAGCATTTCACAAGCGTTCCTGACGAAGATTCCCTTAGTCAGGTTTATGTTCTAAGGGCTTTCTACGAGCAGTTCCGTATTATGGAGTCCTGGCTAAGGATTTCATAAACAAGTTATGTATTACACATCCTGCAGCAAGGATGTGCTTTTTACTTCGGATTCTCAGTTGTGGATTCTGTAGCAAGGGCGTTGTAGCACGGGTTTGTTGGTAAGGGTTCCGTTGCACATCATTTTCCATACGATGGGTTTGTTGGTAGGGGTTTGCCGGTACGGATTCCGCAGCGAGGGTGTTGTGGCACGGGTGTTTCTGGTAAGGATTCCGCCGTAAGAACGGTTCACGCAGAGTTCGTTGGTAGGTTTTCTTTAGCAAGGAGTTGTTTTAGATACTAGTTCCTTAGTAAGGGTTTGTGGATTCCGACAAAGGATTCGTAAGTCAGTTAAACAAATTGTTCGAGGGTTCATTATTCATGGTGCTGTACTGAAGGGTCCTGCATAGCGATTCCTGACTGGATGCCTTACTTAGGATTCCTTAGTAATCTTCATTCAGGAGGATTCCGAACTGAGGGTTTCTGATCCAGGAAACTGCTTGAGGAGTTTTGATCAGCGATTCTTCAAAGAGGATTTCTTTCTCTGGACTCTCTCGTGAGTTCCCTTCTTGAGGATTCCGAATGAAGACTTTCTTACTCAGGACTCGCTGTCGGGGAGCCCTGGACAGGGACTGCTTATATGTCGTGCTGAGCATTCATGACCCAATAGGGCTTATTATGAATTCTTGAGCCAGATTGAGCATCGAGTTGTCAGCATGTATTCTTGTTTAAGGATTCCGTGCTGAGGAGTCGTTGCGAAGGTTTCCTTCGCACGCTTTTCATATTGAGGAGGTCTTAGAGCGGACCCCCACTACATACTCTTTTGCAGGTTTTCTTATCAAAGAACCCGTAATCAGGATTCCTTGCTCATGATTCTTCATTGGGGAGTCTTGACTATGGATCCCTTAGCTTTCATTCCGTACTAAGGATTCGCCGGTGTATTCAGGATTCCGCATTGTCGATGTTAATATATATATATATATTCTTCGTTGAGGAGTTTTGGCCAAGGGTGCCGCAATGTGGATTCCGTTGTCAGGATATCGTTCATAGAACATGCATTATTGATGATTATGTTATTCAATTCTTTTATTTTGGAATCCGTACTGGGGATTATTTACCAAGGATTCCTCTCGATGGAGTCCTGGCGAAGGTCCGTCTCAGTGAGGAACCCTGGCTGTTGATTTACTTTTCAGGATTTGTTGGCAACTATGCCGTACTCAGTATTCCATGTCAGGGATTATTTAGTGAGGGTTCCTCACGAAATATTACTTGATAACCACGTCGCGCGGAACACTCCAGTGTTTCAGAATTCCATTCCAAGGGCTCCTTCTACAAATTATTTCATTGTAAGTGTTCCTTATGAAGGACTTCGTGGTAAATATCAGGGATGGCATGCTTCCGTGAGGGCCAGATCGGGAGAGGAATCCGCAGTGCTACCACGTAGTATTGCTCCGAGTAGCCGAGGCAGCCGCTGCAGAGGGAAGTGTCGCGCCGCGCCGCGCCGGGGCGAGGGGGGGGTCGGGTGACGCGGCCGCAGTCATGGCTTCTGCCGTACATCAAGGGCATGAAAAACGCCCCTACCCTGGTTTGCGAGGCGCTGTGCGCTGAAACATCTGTGGGCTGACGCGGTAAACCCTGCGTGATGTGCCGCGTCCTGGCGGCTCTAGGCTTTTGGGGTTCTCAGAAGGTTTACCGACCACGCACTTGTAACCCAGGAGGAGGGGGAGGAGGAGGAGGAAGAGGAGGAGGAGGAGGAGGAGGAAGAGGAGCAGGAGGAGGAAGAGAAGGTAGAGTCGTTTCTTCATCCTTCAAGTACAGCGGAAGCCCAGACGGCGGCCCATGGGCGCGGGGCCGCAGTCCGGGTCTGCGCCCGGCTGTTCTCTCTCCCTCTCTCTCTCTCTCTCTCCGGGGTTGGCGGCGCGAGGCGGCTGCGGCGGTGGCCGCGCCCCTCTCGGCCCGGAGCCCGCATGCGGGGGCACGAGCGGTGCGGAGAACATCCCTGGGGGCTTCCGCGGCGCCCCCTCCCCAGCGCCGATGGCCTGATCTGCCGCACGGTGGTGTTGGCACACGGCGCGGGGCGGTTGCTGCCCCGCGGGGCAGCGGCCAGCTCCACAGCTAGCTACCGCCCTGCCCCCTGCCCTCCTCGACCGGCACCTTTTTGTCTCACCTTCTCGGCCCGTCTCGCTCGACTTCCTCCACCAGCGGATGTGTTGTTCCTGCACGTTTTCCCCCATGCCACTGCTTCCTCCTCCAGCAGCTCATGCTCGTCCTTCTGCACCCCTCACCCTCCTCCCTTCCCCCCCTCCTCTCCGCGCCCAGCTTTCCCCCCCCTCGCACGCGCGTGCTCCTCCCCAAACCTGCCTATCAGTCAGGGGCAGAGGTTTCCTATAGGCAAGCCCTGCGCACCCCCTAGTCAGGGTTTTCACTACTCCCGAGATCTTGGATTCATCTCTTTTTGCATTCTCAGGCCTTCCCTGAGACTTTCAGGCTCAGCGGTTAGCCAGCGAGCACGCGACGACCCGAAACAACACCTCCTCTCCCCCCCCCCACGAAGGCAACGCAGCGCATGGCGAGGGCAGTCTGCTCGTGCCCCCTCCTCCCGACTCACACCGCATCGTCCCCCCTGTTCTCTTCCCCCCTCCTCGACCTCCTGCTCCTCCCTCCTCCTCCTCCCCCCTCTTTTTCCCTCCCCCCTTTTTTTCCCCATCTTCTTCCCCCTCCTGAACCTCCTCCCCCTCTTTTGTCCCTCCTGCCCCTCTTTTCCCCCCTCCTGGACCTCCTCCTCCCCCCTCTTGTTCCCTCCCTCCCGCCGCGCCCTCCGCACCCCCAGGAGGTGCAGATGCTCATGGGCCTGGGCGCGAAGGACGGCGCCCCAGAGGGCAACACCGACGCAGCTCCAGGCGCCTCCGACCCGTCGCCTTCCTCCCGCGGGCTCCTCAGGGGAGCTCGCACGACTTCGGCGCTCGCTTCGCAACGCTTCGCTTATCGTCGTCCTGTATCCTCCTGCCACCTCCTCCCCTGCTTCGTCGTTCCTCCATCCTCCCTCCGCATTCCCGTGGTGGTCCTTCTCGTACCCTTCCTCGTCGTCCTCCCCGTGCTTCCTCCTGCTGCCGCTTCTCTTCACTGCCCCCCGGCTCCTCGTTCTTCAGGCGCACGCGGCCAGCTACGGAGATTCCGGAGGCCCGGCGGCAGCGATTCGGTTCGGCAGATTTGAGAGACCGGGTGGTTTGGCAGTCCGCTGTCCGCCGCCACTGCATGTATTGTCCACGCGCCTCGGCCTCTGGCTTTGCATGTATGCATGTATGTAATAGCTCCTCGTTCTCCTGCCTCCTCCGAGGCTCTTCCTGTGGAGGTCTCGGGAGGTCTCCAGAGGCCCGAGGGCCCATGGATGAAGCCTCCAGAGGCCAGAAAAGCCTCGCGTCCTCATCCAGGACTGGACCTAAACGCCGTTTTGCTGGACTTCGGCTGTGTTTTGTTTTCCGTTTTGGCAGGGAGGTACAGGAAAACAGGTAGAGCAAAACGAAACACACAACGAAGACAACACGGCACACAACGCTTAGGTTCAGCCTTGGCTTCGCATCCTCATCCTTCTCTCTTCCGCCTCCCGCCCTTCGACCGGGAGATCGAAGGGAGCTCAGCTATGACGACGAGACGCCTCCCAGAGCCCCAGAAGGGGCGAGAGCCGGCCTCGAACGTCGATCCCCCCTCCCCCCCGAGCCCGGGAGATCCGAGGAGGTCTCGACCCATTCCGCAGAGCGGTTTTCCTTTTCTCGGGTCCGCTGTTGATGGCCCCGTGGCCCGGCGGCGTCGCCTGAGACGATGTGTTTGTCTTCTGGCGCCTAACGTTTTACCCAAGAGCCCCCCCGCCCCCTGGGTAGCTGTAGTGATCGTGCGGAAGGGGGCAGGGCCAGGGGGTTTGGACCCCCACTCACATGTTGGCGTTCGTGCGCGTACTAGGGCGATCGCAGCGCACCCCGCCCCGACGTGCCCCACCCCGCCCAAACGTTACCGTTCATTGGTCCTAAACATTCCCTTACCCGGGGTCGGCCTGCGTGAAAAGGCCCGTCCGCTGGATTGGGCGCTTGCCACTGCGCCCGATCAGCCAGCCGCGTGCGCGCTGTTTCAGCATCCGCGCGTCAGGGCGCCACGGCACGCTGAACGGCTGGTTGTTTGAATACAGCGACATGCCTTGGTTGGCGTCAGGGACGTCTGGGGGCATCGGGGGCGCCCGCGGGGTTTCGGACACCATTGGAGTGGTGGTGCCTGTCCCATTTGGGGACAGGCACCACCACTCCGTTGCGTTTGGGCCTGCCCGCAAGAGCGTCCTTGCAATCTCACGCTCCCCCGTGGTCTGTTGCGGCCGCGTTCGGGAGCGCTCTCGGGGGCCGCGCGTGCGCCCGAAAACGATTTCCACCAAACGCCACCTCGACTAGGTACGGGTACGTGTCCGGGGGCACCTTCAACGCGCGTCGGCGAATGTTCCCCCGACACGTACCCGAACCTAGCTTTGGTGACGCCGAGCGGGTTTTCAAGGGAACGGCTCCTGGCGAGGACCCCTGGCGTTCGGGGCCCCAGGCGTTTGGGGCGAGCGCGGGATTGCAGCGGCGCCCGCCCGGGACACCCAGGACGCATTTTGCGCGTCGAGCCCCAAACGCTTGATTGTGCGCCTTCGTGGGCGCATTTCCGAGCGAGCCGGTCTAGCCCGACAGCGACCAATGCGCGGTCGGCCACTGCCGATTGGAACGCGCGCGCCTTCGGCGCCAGCGGGTACCCGGAGAAGACAGCGTCCGGTAATGTTCCATGGGCCGTCGCATTTGCATTTGTGCAACCGCCGTCGGCTGCGGCGTGTCGTCCCCCCCGCCCCTTGCTTGCCACCCCGCTTGGGTAAAGGGTACGGGTATCTTTCGCGCTCGAGAACCGTTGCCATGGGCCCCGCTCCCAACCCCCACCCACTACCCCGTAGGTAACGACCGCTACCGGAAGTTAGAATCGAAGACGCCTGCGGCGAATCACCGCCGCCCGCCGCCTCGTGAAAGAGCCGATGCGCCCGCACGTTGCGGCCAGAACTCGGCCACAGTGCCCCCCAGCCGTTGTGAAAACACGCTGTGGAACACGAGAGGGAGCGAAAGAAAAAGAGGGGGGGACGGATGAAAAAGGAAGAGGAGGCGGAGGAGGAGGAGGAGGAGGAAGAGGAGGAGGAGGAGGAAGAGGAGGAGGAGGAGGAGGAGGAGGAGGAGGACACCCTTCCCAGACACCCGGCCGCTCCAATTTTCTGATGCGGGGGCCCCGGAGGTCAGCACCACCTCCCCTAGGCCTGTTTCTGGTCCTGAGCCGTTGTTTGACGCCCCCCGAGGCCTTGAGAGGGCCCAGGCCGGAAACTGCCCAACTCCCTCCCGCCGCCCCAAGCTGTCTGGAGCGTTTGATCTCTGGTATCGGCTCGTCTCCAGCAGCTTGCCGCCTGTTACCGACACCGATGCCAGCACCCCCGCCGCGCCGCGCCCGCTGCAGTTCTCAGCTTGGGCGTCCTCCGCCTCTCCGCGCGGTGACAGCGGCGGCCCGCCCCGCTGAACTCCAGGGGAGGGGAGCTTCTCTCGAGCCTGCCCTGTTCGGTCACGCGCAAGGGGGGGGAGGCAGTGGGGAGGGGGGGAGGCTTCTGAAAAATACCCCTGCTTTTCAAAAGGCGCGGACCTTGTCCAGAAAGATGTAGGGCCGGCGCCCTCTGAGAAACAATCTCCTTGTATTGAGCCTTCCCCCTCACCCCCCCTACCCCCCTGTCCGCGCCTCCAACCTGTTTGGAGGTCCGCGCGGATTGTTTGGATCGGGGCTGGAACCTTCTCCCTGGCGCGCGGAGGGCGCCAGGGGTGGCGCCGCAGGCGCCGCCACGGGGGTGCCGCCAGGCGAGAGCTTCCCTCAGGCCTTCCTTCCTTCGCTCAGTGCACCCCCCCGCCCCCGATGGATCGGCGATCCATCGTCAATGAGGTGACAGGCCTGCGATAGCAACTCCGGATGGTCCTCGGCGGGGTGGGCTATCAGGCCCATGTCGGCGAAGCATTTGCGATTGGGGGTCGATGATTCCCACATAAGAAGGTCTCAGCTGGGCTCCAGCGATTGTCCACAGTGGTTGTTCCTTCGCTCGTTCGTCCCCTCTTCTCCTCATGCTCATCATCCTGCTCATCCGCCACCTCTTCCTCCTCCCCCCCTCCGTACGCAGTTTCCCCTTCCCGACAGCGCATGATTAACGCGATGTGGTCTTATTGGGAGATTCTGCTCCGCTATGGCACGCGGCCGCGGCCAGAAGAAAACATCGCGCGGTGGGAAGGGATGGGTGGGAGGGGGTACGGTGTTAGATGTGGCGCGAGCGCACCTGGCTCGCTCTGCCCCTCCCCCCTCTCTCTTTCTCCCCCTCCTGGCCCGGGGGCGCCCAGGTGGGCCCACCCCCCGTCGCACAAACCCGGGAGGCTGTGTCCCTGTCCCACCGCGCCTCGGCAGCAGACTTGCCAGGCCACCCGTGCCTCCAGGAGCACGCAGCCTCTCCCTCCCCCTCCCTGGGATGACCGAACCGGGCACGGAAAGAATGGGTACACGTTTTCCGTACAGTGCCGTTTTTAATACATGCTCCGCGTGCGGATCATGTATTAAAAAATGCCGGATTTAGCACTAAATCAAAACAGCGATGAGTTCATGCATAGATTTATTCACACATTGATCATGTATTACAATCCAATATTTTGAAACATCCCATGTATTTAAAACTGCCCTGTACCCAGTTTTTCCGTACCCATTTCGGGCGTCCAAGCTTCCCGTTTCGCCCCCATCGGACGGGGCTAGGACGAGGACGAATCCGCTCCAGAATGCTCTTTTAACGCTCTCGGAGCGTCCCGGAACGCTCTGGGAGTGCCGCGCCCCCCGCTGCCTCCTCCACAGCCGCCGGATCTCCGAGATCCTCGATCTATTCTCACCCGAATGTTCGGAGGTTCGTGGAGGGAGGGTTCTCCCAAGGTGGGCTGCGTCCCCCCCCCCGCCCCCCCCCATCCGTCGCCCCCCTCCCACCTGGCAGTGGGACGAGAGCAGGACCTGCCGCGGCCCCCTCGACGGCCGCGGCGCCACCCCTCTGGGCGTCGGGCGCCCGCGGAGCTCAGCGGGGTGATCTCCGCCGCCGAGCGACCGCTCTGCTGCAGTGGTTCCCCCGCCTTGTGGCTGTGCTCGCCCTGGCTTTCCCCGCCCCCACCCGTCGCCCCCCGAGGCGCACCCGCCGAGCCTGCCGCGGCGGCGGCCGCGGAGCCGCAGGCCGGCGCGGGTGCCGCGGCCGCCTCCTCGGCCGCGGGCGCTGGGGTCGCCGCCTCGGGCCCGGGGGCCGCCGCAG